ATCGCTCTTCCTCCTTCTCTTCCTCCTCAATGTGAAGACAAGGATGAAGACCTTCATGATTATCCACTCCACTTAATTAATAGTAAATAATCATCATGCCATACAATTAAGTCAATTGTTGGGTATGTCTTCATGTGAAAATCTGGTAACTATATAAGCAAGAACTGTATATTTTGTGTCACCAAAGTATTCATCATGTAGAACACCATGTGTAAGACTTGAATGGAAGTGGATAGGCTACCTTTACATAGGCATAAATTGAGTGGTATTAATATGAAATCAATAGTGTTAGTTTTCCTAATGTTTTATAACTTTGCTTTCAAAGAATTACACTACCATACAGTATACCTCTCTCTCTCACACACACACATAATTAGAAAAACTGTGTATCAGCCTATCATCACAGGTAAATGTTTTTTAAAAAATGTAAGAATGTTTTCAATACCATATTATGAATGATTATAATACTGTATGCCATAAAAATTTTATGATTGATTCATTAATATATAGGTTAGGCTACTGTGAAGCAACTATTGATTACACTAGCTACTATAAAGCAATCATACTGTTACTTCATTATCAACATGTGAATTGTCATACCTATAAATAAATATGAATTTTTTTTCACATTATCTTTTCATTTCTGATGTCTAGTGTTAATAATATATATAACATAAACAGTGTTTTGTATCATATAAGACAATACTGACAGTACTAATAGACAATTCATCTTGTAAACAGAGGGCATAACTTACAGTATGGATACAGTATACTACTGTAAAAATGTATTTTCCTTATGATTATCTTAATAAAATTTTATTTTCTCTAGCTTTATTGTAAGATTATAGTATATAATAGATATAATATTCAATATACATGTTAATCAACTATTTGTTATCAGTAAGGCCTCCAGTCAACAGGAAGCTATTAAGTTTTGGGGAAGGAGTCAAAAGTTATATGGGGATTTTCAACTGCACGGGGTAGGGATAGGGGGAATCAATACTCTTAACCCTGGCATTGTTCAAGGGTTAACTGTACTTTGAAAGCAAAAAATTGTTGGAACACTTTCCCTAAGATGAGGAAAAAGATCCACCCTTACTACTTCTATTCAACATTGTGAAGGTTCTAGCAAAAGCAATTAGTAAAAAAAAAAATTGAAATAAGAGACACCTAGACTGGAAAGGAAGAAGTAAAACTATATCTATTTCTGGATTTATAATTTTATACAGTGAAATTCCAAAGAAACCCACTATTAAACTTTCAAACTACTAAATAAGTTCAGCAAGACTGCAGGAAACAAGATTAATACGCAAATAGAGAGAGAGAGAGAGAGAGAGAGAGGAATAAACAAAAGAAGTGTAAAACCCACACCTCAAAGCTATTCACATTGTTTAAAGAAATTAAAGATTTAAACAAATGGAAAGATAGCCCATGTTCATGGATCAGAAGACCTTATATTGTTAAGATGGTGATACTCCCCAAACTGATTTACAGATTCAGTACAATCCCTTTCAAAATCCCAGCTGGCTTCTTTGCTGATTCTAAAGTTTATATGAAAATTCAAGGAACCAAGAACAGGCAAAACAATCTTGAAAAACAAAGAGAACTGATATTTCCCAATTCCAAAACTTACCATAAAACTACAGTAATAAAGACAATGTGCTACTGGCATTAGGATAGACATAGAGATCAGTGGAATAGACCTGAGAATCCGGGGGGGGGGAAAACAAAAATCTTACCCTTAGAGTCAATAGATTTTTGACAAAGAACCCAAGATAATTCAACGGAAAAAGAATAGTCTGCAAATTGTACATGGACAACTGGATATCATTACATGCAAAATAATAAACTTGGACCACTATACCATATACAAAATTACATACAAAAAGTACCTCAAATGGATCAAAGCCCTGAATGTAAGAGCTGAAACTATAAAATTCTTAGAAGAAAACAGGCATAAATCTTCAAGACCTTTGATTAGGCTAGTTTCTTAGAACAACAAAAGCTTGGATTAGATCTCTGATCCATTTTGAGGTACTTTTTGTATATAATTTGTATATGGTGTAGTGGTCCAAGTTTACTATTTTGCATGTAAAGATATCCAACTGTTCCTGTAGCATTTTCAGACTATTCTTTTTCCAATTGAATGAGAAAAAGACAGCCATGCAAGGATCTAATGGAAGAGAATTCCAAGGAGAGGACACAACAAGAACACAAGCCAAGACAGAACCAGCTAAATATACTCAAAAGACAGAGATGAGATTAGAGAGGCAGGGAAGGGCCTTACAGGCCAAGTACTAGCACATATGGCAAAAGCTACATTATAATAGAGTGACAGCACTGCTCCAGGAGAAGCATTCACATAGTAAACTACAATGTGAAAGGTATCCCCTAGAATGGGGCAATGAAAGAGTGCAGATGTATTTACACATACTTGACAGCTCTCAAAGGCTATGCCTTAAGTCTCGTGTGCTTAGTTCAACGATATGCATATTTTCAATAAACAATTATACCAGCCAACAAATATGCTGACTTCTTAAAAATGGCATGTCTCAGGTTTTATTTACATTTTCAGCAAATAATTAAATCCTCATAGCAATCCAAATTGTTTACCTGGCTTCTCTTTTTATTGTTTTTATTTTTATTTTCATTTCAATTGCTTTCACAGACATTATATTGGTTTAAAATTCGAAAGGGTAAAAAGTCTCTCTCCCAACCTGCCTCTTAGAGACACATTCCCCATCTTTGGACACTATAAATGTTATCAACTAGTTCCTTGTATATCCCTCCAGAAAACTTTTATACATCTTCAAGTAAATATGTATAGATTCTTTTATTTTTCTACATAAAGTGGTAGCATACTTTACATATCATTCTGCACCTTCCTTTTTCAGTGAATTATCTTGGCAACTGTTTCTTTTCAGGGCATAAGGCTTTCTCCTTTTTTAATGGCTGCAGAGTATTCCATTTTGTGCATACAGTATTTTATTCCTTTATTTATAATTTTAATTAGAAAATAGTTGAGAAAAAAATGCAGCTTCCACAGCAAGAGTTGTTAATCTTGCATCTATGGGAAGGCTTCAAAAGATACATGAGTCCCCTTAAATGGTATGTATGTGCCCATCTGTATTTCTGTGGGCAGAAAATTTGCATACCATTCACCACATTATCAGAGGGAACTGGGGCTGAAACAAAAGAACTTCTATATTACAATATAACTTTTGCACAGGTGTTCAATAAACATACATTGAAAAGAATTTTAGTCTAGAGTTTTGCTAATTTTTGTACTAGAAATGGAAAGACTAAATTAAATACCAAACTTCTCATCTACATTATAGAACCTTTTCCCTTTAACAAACAACAAAAATGACCCATTTGACTCCTATTTATTTCTGAGAAGGGCTCTATTTTTCATCTGCACCATGAATAGGAGTACTAAGAAAGAAAAGAACCAAAATTTAAAGTATCTGAATGATCAAAAGTTGACGATATAAGCTGTTGTTCACTTTAACTGACAACATCAGAAGCATCTTTGATGACCCTTAAAGTCTATGTAACATTCCATAGGGTCCTTCCTCAGAAAATTAAATTACTGGTAGTCATGTAGTTATATGCCTACCACATGCCAGGCACCAGAACAGAAGCTTTACATATACCATCTTGTTTAATCCTCAAGACCATCACTTAAGGCAACTATATTTCCCCCCTTTTACAAGTAAGGAAAAGGAGGCTTAGAAAGAGGTTTAAGCTATTTACTTGCCTAAAACCACATAAATATTGAATGGCAGAGCAAGAGTAAAACATTACCTAACCCTCATTTTCAAGACTCTAAATCTCATCAACTTGACACAATACCATAGTGCCTGAAATCCATATTTAATTAGAATCATTTTAGAGAGGCAGTATAATAGAGTGGTCAGGAAAACCTAGGTTTTAATTCTCATTCAACCATCTAGTTGGAAGACAAATTGTTTAAACTCTAAAAGCCTTCTTCACTATCTGTAAAACTGGACTGCTGTGTGGTTTAAGTGAGAAAAGGTGTGTAAAAGAAACAGCTCACATATTGATCTGAAGAAGATACTTAGTAAAAAGTGGCTATTATTTCATCCTTCTTTGAGAAGAAACACAAAGGGCTGCAAGGTTTCCCAGTTCGTCATTAAAATGTTCCCTCCAGAATGCTGGCATTGTAACAAATAACCTGAAGAATGACTGAAAAAACTGTCTGTTTATTATGTGGATTCTGGTTAATGGAACATCATAAATTGTTCTTAAAAATATTTCAGACATAACCGTACCTATTGCCATAACAGAATGAATGCCAGTTTTAATGGTTGCATAATTATTTCACTCTCAATTTAAATGCTTTATGCAGAATTATGCACTGAGGTTTTTTTTAAAGATGTATAACATAAGGTGATAATTGATGACAGCTGTCAAATGTATTACATCTGCTTCTACCCGCTGTTTTTTGTTTTGTATTGTTTTGTTGTTTTCCTGGTAAACCGCGTTATCCCTTTGACTTTTTCGAACTCATCTAAACCAAATAAAACATCCTCCCCATGCCCTCAGTCTCAAAATGGCTATGTGATGAACGTTTTATGGAGTTAATGACTAAAGCTGAAGGCCTGACACAACTTTTTCATAAAAAAGAAAACTGTTACATTCCTCCCTCGTGACCCAAAACTTGAGATCAAGGCTTTAGGCAGGTCTCAAACCGAAGTTCAGGGCAACGCTGAAAAGGAAAACAACTTCACCGCTGCCTTCCTTTCTCCCTTCCCCCAAGAGTAGAAAAAAGTGAAACTGCGGCGCAGCACCAAAAACCCTGGGCGCTGGCTGCGGCCGAGAGCCGCGGCGACCAGCGTTCGATGTGTGGCTCTTTGCTCTGCTCCGGAGGCACGCACGGCCGTCCACCCCCACCCGCCCAGCCAGGAGTGCCAGGTCCACATACAGCCCTCAACCTCCCAAGCCCCCAAGCCGCGCGGCCTCCCTCCAGGGCTCACCATCGCAGCCCGCTGAGTAAGGGGCGGGCGGGCAGGCCAGCCGGCTGCAGGATCCGTTACCGGAGCTCGGGACCCATTCGCGCCAACAACTTCTCCCGCGAAGTGGAAGAAGGTGGAGGCAGCGGCGCCCGGTGATGACGTCGGAGGCGCGCGGCTTCCCTTAGGTCCCGGCCCGAGGCGGGAGGTGCTGCCTGAGCCCAGGTGCCTCACTGTAGGCTGTCCGGCCCCTGAGGCCGCGGGGAACGACAGGACCGCGCCCCGCGCGCAGGTTTGCGCCTTTGGCTTTTGGCCGGGGCGCTCGAGTCGGGGTTCCGAGATTGCTATCCTCAGAAGGTGTGCAAACCAGGGAGCAGCACCCTGTTACGCGTGCGGAGGGTGCGCCGCCCGTGTGGTGGTTCTCAGGTGTTTCTCCCACTCGCAGTAAGACACATATTTTTGGTGTACGTTTCACATATTACATTTCAGTATCTATTCTGAAAAGTTTCATCAAACAGTATTTACCCTCATCTTGATTATTTTTAATGTTTGACCCACCGAATTGGCTTTTTCCTCTCCTGTTACGCGGAGACAGAGTTCGAAAACCACTGGGCTGACAGTTTTACGTTGTGTAATTCCAGGGCAAAAAAGATTTTAGTAAAATCATCTAGTCATCACCACCCACTCTTTTTTAACTGACAAAATATGAGACCCAAGGAAGCCAGTGGGATCCAGGCTAGTAATCTAAGCCTCCAAATTTCTAAATCTGCTCTGAAAAATTCCCTAAAGAGTAGTGGTGTGTGAGAAGCCAAGGTATTAACAAGGTGCATCTCCATAGAAACACAATGATTCCGAAAGGTTTGAAGTAAATAGGTTGTATATTAGTAGATATGCAACCGAATTGTGAAATCGAATGGAACATTTGCATACAATTTTAAGAGAAAGCATGAGACTCCAAGGAATTTAGTGGGTAGAGCAGTAACTCCAGCTTTGACCTAGACTTGCAAATCCTTACCCACCCACCCCCTATTCTGTCTTGTGTTTTATCACAACAATAGCTGTACAATGAAAGATAGCAAAGCCTTCTGGAATAAAATGGAAGCTAAGCGTGGAGAACCTGTATTTATTAAAGGCCCACTGTAATACCTGTCAGGCATGCAGCTATGAACTATCCTAGTTTAGCTCATCTAATACCCACAATACTGGCTACTATTATTGTCCCCAATTTACAAAGGAGTAAACTGTTACTCATGAACAGGGCCTCATTGCATGGGACCCTCTGAAGGAGTATGCCAGCAGTCCTAGCTCTACCTCATGCTAATTGTGTAACCACAGGCAAGTTAGTATGCCTCACTTTCCTCATCTGTAAAATAAAGGTAATAGTACTACTTCATAGACTTGTTATTGAACTGTTCCTGGTGCATAAGCAGATAATAATCTTTTTTTTAAGTCAGCTGTTAAATTATTATTACACAAGGCTAAGTATTATCAAGGGAGATAGGTCCAAAAATGAACTCATCTGCTCCATAAGTTTGCTTAGGGAAATACTCAGTTGAGTCAGGGGTGGGGGGTTGTCATTAGGTCCTTTGAGAAATCATTAAAAACTATGAACCTACTCCCCAGAAAAATGTACACAGCAGACAAATCACATAAATTTTTGCCTGTAATCTCAGAGGACCTGAATCAATTTAAAATAATCATTGTGTTGTAAATAAGATGGATACTAAAAGTTTTACATATCTTCTATTACTTTTAACTTTTGTATTTATTTTTTAACATTTTGAAGCCTTCCTTGAATTTAGGTGAGGCTTAAGTGAGAAGCCTGTAACTTCCAGAAAGACAGTGAACTGAATTGTTGGATTGTTTTCTATAGGAACATTTATTTTGAAATAGTCTATCTCCGAAATGTACCAGGCTAAAATGGCTGTGTATGTTTTGATATTCCTCCCCAAATCTGGGCTGGCTTGTAACTGATTTGACCAAAGAATACAGTGGAAATTATGCTACTGTGGCTCTAGACCTAAAGAGTACTAATGCGGCTCCCACCTTGCTTTCTTGGAGCCCAGAATCTAATGGAAAGTGCAAAAAGGGGCCAATTGAGCCCAGGCTTATAGCCATCTCCACCAGGCACCCAGCTTGTAAACGAAGCCATCTTGGGCCTACCATATCAGCTGTTGGTGCATATCAGCTGTTGGTGGAATCCCACTACTCCATAGTGGAATTCAGTACTCCGTAAAGCAGAAAATTCACCTAGTCAAAGCTTACCCAAATTCTCTGACACAGAGCAGTGTGAGCCTAATAAAATGACTGTTCTTTTAAGGTACTAAGTTTTGGGTAGTTTGTTGTAAGTAATAGGTAACAAGAATAGAAGTACTGAGGAGCTCAAAGTGTAACCAAAAAATAAGCATGAACAGAATATTCTTGCTCGTTTTCTCCGCTGTGGTGATTTGTACTGATGCATCATTCAACAAAGATTTATTGAGCATCTACTGTGTGTCAGCACGTTTTTTGTGCGTGCGCTGGGAACCCATAGGAAAAAAGATAGTCTCAGCTTCCATGAAGTTTATATTTTTGAGGAAAAGAGAAAAATAAACAAGTTTAGACAAAAATAGATTCTGTTCCTGCAGATCAGGGTAAGTGCTATAAAGAAAATAAAACAACATAATAAGATAGAAGATAACTGGGGAGGAGGATGTGAAAGTATTGTAAATAAGTGACCAAAAGACTTCTCAGAGGGGGACATTGAGCTGAGACATGAATGTTGACAAGGGGACAGCAAGATAAAAGCCCTGATGTGGTTATGTGTTAAACATATTCAAGGAGTAGAAAGAAAGCCAGTGTTATGACTGATGCAGGGTTAACTAGTAGAAGTGATAAGAGATTAGTTTGGGTGGAGAGATCAGTGAGGGGAGAGATCATATAGAGCCTAAAGTCCTAGCAAGATGTTAATTTTATTCTGAGTGTAATGGAAAGCCTTTATAAGATTTTAAGCTGAAAAACTGCTGTGATCCCATCATTCTTCAACTTTGTTTTTCAAAACCAAAAAAGATTGCTATGTGTTTTATGGCAAAATAGGATACCCATTTGTTTCCCATGAAGAGAAGTCTCAGAAGTGCTAAAAAGATCATCAGATACAATTTTTTTAAACTTGTCTATAGGGGAACGGCAGAGTCTCTTAACGAGTTTTGTTTCTACATAATAACTGCATCTGAATTTTAACCCTTACTGGCCACTATTCTATTATAGTGTCTAGTTTGAATATTTTTCCAAGCAAAGGACCCACCTATGGGCACCATCGATCTCTATGTGGCCTTTCTTTGACAATGACAATAAAATGATAGTAGGTCATACCTCCATGTCTCAGTATTGATTGAAAAACTGCAATAATGCATCTCCAGAAAATTGAGAATATACAAAGAATACAACAAACTAGGTCTGCTGATTTTTAGAGAGGTACAAAGAGGTCACTTGCTGATATAAAACTTTAGCTAACAAAGATTCCTTGCATGTTTTCTTAAAAGTATTTTCATCAGAAGCTTTTCCTCATGTTCTCCTTAGTCATTATTTCAGCTCATCTTAGTGTAAGTATTTCTCAAGCCAGCTTATGAATAAATGAGACTAATAACACATTTGTAAAGTGATGTTGATAATGATAATAGAGTAACAGATAATACAGCAATTGCATAAGCACTGTAGTTTCCAGAATTAAATACATCTATTAAAAGATGAAAACACTTTTAATAATGATCTGAGACCTAACAGAGAAGACACATTTTTAAGAGGTATATTTTTTATTGGATCTGATCACCTGATGCTCACTTACTCCTTAAAAGAAAGGCCTTCGGGGAAAACTCAACAAAGCTAATTTTGTGGAAGTCAGGATCTCTTTCCCTCCCTTAGTAATATATACATCATGATACATATTATGAGTGGAAGAATTAGTCACATTCCATGACGAACTCTTTACCTCAAGACTTAGAATATTGACATTAACATCTTTATTAGTATGTTTCTAAACTTGTGAATAATCAGATTTGCATGAAATAATTGGCTGTCTTTCCATAACATACAGCGTTAATTCATTGGCCTCCTAAAATGACTAAAAGTTTGTATTAGAAAGTGCATAATTTAAATTTTGGTCTTCCTTTATAATTTAACTAACTACTACTGTGTGTAAATGAAAAACAAATGCAAAGGTCAATATAAATTCTCAGTGTTAAAGCCTCGCCTTGGTTAACTTATCTGTGTGATAGGAATAACTCTACTTGGAGTCACTTTGGAACCCTTTCCAGGAACACAATAGTTACATTGTCTTTTCACATAGACTTTTTTAAGTCAACAGAAATCAGTCGAATCTTCACCATGCAAGGATGACTGTGACTTTCTGCTCTCTGGATAAATATTAGCATGTCCTGCTTTGTGAGGGTTTACTGGAACATTTTCCTTATAGAAATAGTAGGTTTGGCAGCTTGTCCTTTTCTCTGGTGACTGCAGATGTAGACTGGTGATGCTGACTGCAGATGTAGACTGGTGATGGGATTCTCTAGAAATCCATTTATGAACATTATAATTAAGTCATAATCTACCACCATTAAAGTGCACATACTCTGATTTAGGAAATTAGTCACTATGACATTTATCTTAATTTTGGATAATATCCAATTAACTTTCTTAATATGATTATGCTTGAGAAATCTAAATTCATGCTTGAATAATCTAGAAGTCTAATTATTTTTATACCCTACAAATAATAAAAAATTTCTCCCAAGTAAACCAGTGTATTCACTTGGTTTGGAAGAAAAATTTACATTTAAAATAGTAAATTTAACAAAAAACATATAACTTTACTGCTGCTGTATACATTTGAATAATATATATAATGTGTGTCAGATTGTGGGTTAATTCCTTAGAATATTCATTGGCAGTTTTAAGGGTGTTTATAGACAGAGCAACAGTAATGCCAACAGCATTTTGTAGTGATAATAGATTTTATGATTAGGATAATTATTCCAGTTCATTCCTCAAGTCCTACAAATCAAAGTTATTACAGAATTTTTATTGTTATTTCTCAGAAATAATCTTATAAATGAATACAAATCAGAATATAAAAGACATGCAAAAAAGGAATTCTAATAAAGTCATGTTCCATAAAATACATGGCAAAAATCTAAGTCTGATTCATTGCCAGAAAAAAGGATATAAACAATACTTTTTAACATACCCATTCAAACTGCTAGTTGCTATAGAGAGTGCTAACCTTGCTTAAGACAAAGTCAACTGCTTTGGACTCTACATTTTAAA